TTAGAAGAGCCAGATATTACCAAAAATGGAGTATTGCTACCATATCTGGACTGGAGCTGTCTAGTCATCACTTGCCTATCATGACAGAGTTCAAAAGCGTCTATGTGGTCTTTTGAGTGATGAATTATTTTTGATCTGGCAATCCCTTTATCACAGATGAAACATCACAAGTCTTGCTGTTCTGTTGCTATTTCCATGAAAAGTGTTTAGACCAATTGCATTCCTTAGTTCCATCAGTTCTAACCTTTATGGTTAAGACCCACACATTGTAGTGAACCACCCTCATTCCCTTTGTATTCCATTAGTGAGGTGTGTGTTTTACTTGAGCAGCTTCTTCATCTACTAACCACTGCTTTGTGGAACTGACTCTTAAGTGGATGTTTTAATTATAATCTTAACCTATTCAAGTATAGAGTCAACTGTTATCTTCCCCCACATATCCCCATAAATTGTGCCTCTTACTCTATAGCTCTTTACCTCGAGTGAATCTTGGACATTGTACAGGGTGAACATCATTGTTAAAAAAAAAAAAAAAAAGTCCTAGTGAGTTCTTTAATTCTCTTGAGCTGCATGGTGTTTTACCTAACAGGCTTCAATAAAAAAATTGGAATGCCTATCTTACTTCTCAGATACCTTTACCCCTCAAAGTTAATGAGCTTCTCTCACATGACACTGAGACTACTCTCTTAATTGTCATCAGCAAGGTGTGTTCATTTCCAGGATACTCGTAATCCAGACTTGCCCTTTTGAATTCAAATAAATTCAGTTGCTGATATGACTTGGTTTTAACATGATCCTCAATAAGACAGAAGGGCAATCTCACAAAATTGCTGGTCTCAATTCAACTTTTATGATTTTTTTTCCCATAGCAAGCTGGATTGGATCCCAAATAAATTTTTTGTACTGGTGCCATATGGATGTTGTGTACACAGAAACCTTATCAAACTAAGGATCTGCATTATTTTGGACATTAGTGCCAACCGTCCTTAATCATGAGACAATATCCTAGTGGATTAAAGTGTTGGTTTGTGAATTTGGCAACATCATAATTGTGAGTTCAATCCCGAGGTCAGGCAGTGTATTTGGATTCAGTAGAAGTTGGGTGAGCAATAGCTGAGCAGTCGTGGAACAGGAACAATCAGCCTCTTAGAAATAAATAAAGGATTCAATTTGAAGTTCCATATCGGTTATCCAGATTGACATACATCTGATGAAGGCTAATGGGCACAACAGCCAAAATTTTGTTATAATAGGAACAAAGATGAGGACAATAGTCTGCATGTAAATAATAACTCTTCCCAGAAATTCAAATATTCAGTAGCAGCTACTTTTTTTCATGTTTCTCCTGGACAATTCCAAATAGTCTTGCTAGTTATAGATATATGATAGCTTTATTCTGTTTATCAGTATCTATTCAAAACTTGAGCAATCATGGTTATTCTTAAGTCTGTGTTTTCTTATTCTCAGCTATACTTGCTTCTTTACAGTCCCTATTACCTTTTGTGACATTTGTTCCTCTATACATATATACTTAGATTTGTAGAGTACAATGATTGCTGTGTTCCTTTCCTTTTATCAGATGGTACTTGAAAAAATTCTTGATCTGACTCACTTCCCAAAATCTGATCAGATGACCAAACACCAGATTTTTTTTTTTATTGTCTTGGTTAGGGCAAGAACTTTTCAGCACGTATGTGTCCTGTAAGTGTTAAATTTCCCAAACCTTACTTCCTTATTTCAGTTCTAAACATTTAAGCTGTCTCTTTCTGATTGTTAGCAACGTTTTTTTTTTTTGTTTTTTTTGCAGTTCCTACTCTCCTTAACACATTGACTGCCAACCATGAGATAACTTGTGATAGGCAGTTTTTATTATGACACTGACTATGAGTTATCTCCTGCTTGACATTTCCTGATACATTTTTATCTGCAGGCATCAATGAGTTTATTCATAATGATACTTTTATTGGGAAAACAATGTTAACACTTCAGTTGAAGCTATAAATGAACTAAAAAAATTTTCTTATTGCCCATGCTGGCTAATATAAAGTCAGATTTTGTAAGTGACCTCTGGCAGTCAGTGTTAAAAGTTCATTTGTCATATGTTCTGGCCTTGCTATTTGTCAAAATTGGTCAGTAAGATCAAATATCAATCACTTCAATTTTTTTGTCATTTGTGATTAAATTTTCCAGCTTTCACTGCCATATCAATAGCAAGTTTGTTTCTGAGGACATGTATCTACCAAGACAGCTTGCAAATCCCTATTACAGCTCAATTCACAGATTGTGGTTTATACTACAGTGTAACCCGGATATAAGAGTTGTCGGGACCGGAGAAGAAGTCTCTTATATCTGTGTTTCTCTTATATCCGGGTTTGGTCTATTTTGTTTAGGTAAGTATGGGCTCTAATTTGGGACCAGAGAAAATCTCTCTTATATCCGGGTTTCTTATATCCGGGTTACACTGTACAACTAAGCTGAGCTGACCAGTTTCTTGGAGAGAGCACATAATCAGGCGTGATCAAATTTTTTTTTGAACTAGGCCAGCATGTTCAAACCCTCGGTCACAATGGCTTGGGACTGCATGCTAGCACAACCATTAACAGCTTCCAAATGGTTCCATCTACCCAATTTTACTCCCAAGGCTTGAGTTAATCCATGAGATGGTTTTCAAGCACTTTCTAATGATGCAGTACACTGGGATTGCCTCTCTAGGCCAATGTTATCAAGAAGTCACCTCCCTGACATAATAACCTTGGTGAAGTTTGAACCCAAGTCTCATAGCCAGAAAGCAAACATTCTAACCACTTGTTCATGTATCCACTGCCATATAGGGGGATGGATATTACATCAGCCAGTTAAGTGCCACACGTGATACATACTTGAGTAATCTTTTGATATATGACTAACGAGGCAGAAGATTTTTCCCGCAGTAGGTTGCCATTTCTTTCTGTGGTAGACTAGTTGCCAACCAAGGATGAAGAACCCAGTCTGTCCTGCTATTTAACTCATACCTGGGGGGAAAGAAATGGATTTATACCCTTTCCAAAGGGTATTTGTGTATGTGAATATAACAAACTTAAATAGAATTTGAACCTGGCTCTCTGAGTTCTCATTCCAAGCTGATATCCATTATACGACAACACACATCAAAACATTACATAGGTGTCCAGTACTCCTTTTTTTCTTTTTTTCCTTTCTTTATTTTAAACTAGCAGTAGAGCCCGGCGTTGCCCGGGGATGTAACAGTAAGGGATAGATCAAGTATCGACCATCATAAAGACTGAAAAATAAAATTGACAAAGATTATTGTTTAAGGTTGATAAACACGCATGTCTTAATTAGTTTTTTTTTATGGTGTTTTTTTGGGGTTTTTTTACGAATTGGTCAAACCCAAACTCAAACAAAAACATTGTTTTCAATCGTTATGAGTCTACCAATTGAATATAATTTTATTATAAACAATTGTCTTGTAAATGGAATTTTTAAAGCATTCTGAATGTAAAAATAAAGAAACAAGTGTGCAAGACAATAAGAAACACTACCTGCCAAAAAAAAGTGAAGTTTTGTTGAAATTGGTTGAAAAATGTAGGAAATCCGATCCCATATATAAAGGAACACACACACACACACACACACACAACCAACCAACCTGGGTTTTATAATAAGTATAACTCGATATGAGTTGTCTCCCTTTCATTAAATTTCTTAATCGTGTTTTCAAATTGATTTCATTCCAAAATAATTGTGTTTTTCCAATTTTTGGCGCTGTCAGAACCACTGTAAGGTAATTTTACGTAGTCCTGTGAAGTTTTGTTGAAATCGGTTGAAAAATGTAGGAAATCTGATCCAATATATAAACGTACAGACACACATACAACCTGGGTTTTATAATAAATATGACGTTTTCCCCTTAATACCTTACTTAGTTTTTGAAAAGCCTCTTTCACAATTTCAATACATATTTGAATTTCTGTGTCACATTTACCATCATCTATTATTACACTGTCCATAGTTCAATTTATGTTCTTGCTGATTTAGACATCACTAATGCTTGACTGACACTTTGGAAGAAATTTTTTTTTTTTTTTTTTTTTTTTTCAAAATTTATAACAGTTACTAATAGTTATATGCTTATTTAAATTTTCTTATTTTATAGTTCAGAAATTTTTATTTATTTCTGCATAAAAAAAAAAAAATCATTTTATACCTATTTCTGTATAATATAGTAAATAATTAATATTGCGTTGTAGATGATTCACATTGGAGGCACGGTGGAGTAATGGATAGTAGCTCGGATTGAGGATTCAGAGCCAAGTTCAAATTCCAGTTGAATCCATTACATTTGCTTATGTGCTAATACCCTTGGGACTGGATTTTATGGTCTACTGCAGAAAGAAATGGCAACCTACTGCAGGGTAAAATCTGCCTTGTCAGTCATGTATCAAAAGATACAAGATCACATAAGCGTGTATCATGCATGACACATAAATGACTGACAAATATAAAATTATTCTTGTAAATAAACAATCTAATAGTATTTAACATTTTTGTTGTCTCTTCTCAAGAAAAAAAAATGTATAAATTCAGTTTCATATTTTGGGACTTTATTAAAATTCTAAAAATAGTTTTTTAAAACAAGAAATACCAAGGAAGTATACAGTAGTAGCAGTGTAAAGAGAAAAAAAATTCCTTTTGACACACTGTTTTTTGCAGGTATGTTTGTTAAACTTTGCCAAAGTTATCTTGCAATGTGATAGATAACCTAAAAATTTATATTGGAAAATACAGATGGTGGTTACTGCTTTTTGAGTATTTTATCAACGTGTTAAAATATGCAGCAGACTAGTTGAATATAACAAATAACTTATTGTTTCCATTTGGTTAAGTTTTCAGTTAAAAACATTTGCTCCTTACAGTGAAGTATTTTTTATATGTACTTATGTTTACAATTCCAATGTTTTCCTTAATAAAGAAGAAAAACTTCTATTTACTTTTGACAGGGTGGAGATGAGTTGACAGTCACTGTTGACAATTTGGATTTACCTTCAACTGCAGAATTCTTTATTTTATACACCGGATCAAAAGAACGCCGGGTTACAAGAGCACAAAGAATCAACAGTGCAACATTCCAAGGAAATATTCCAGGTTAGTTCCATTTAAATTTATTTAGTTTCTGCATGCTGCAACATTTGATACATAAATTTTATACTAAAAATGCAATATTTACTTAATGTGAAGCATTATTAAAAACATTAATTGAAAACAATGTATTTATTTGGATTTTTAAAAATTGTTTTCTTTAGGTTTGAAATGTTCTGAAGATGTAAATGAAGGTCAAAATTGTTTGAGAAAATAAGAAGAAAAAATTTTTTTAATTAGAAGTTAATAGAGCTGGGCTTTTATACAGAAATATTTTTGTTAGTCTATGCTTCATTACAAAGTATTTGCAAACCATTGGCCTGATTGAACTGGAAATATCTTTATTCTTCAGATTAGTACATTATAACAATAGTGTTCTAATAAACATGATACTCCATTTTTACTATGTAAAGGTAAGAAATGCAAACATACATACATCTGATTATAATTATTACATAGAAATTTTTGCATTATCCCACCAATGAGTAGGAAGTGAATAATTTGTACAGTGAAATGTTCTATTGACTCCCAATAATTATATACATTTAGAATTCAGTAAAAACCCTATTGATTGTTCTTCCTTGTAATATTCTGTGGATGATGGAAATAAACATTGAAATATCAGAGTAAAGTACGTTTTGGGTTAATCAAATTATGTTTAACATCTTTGTTGCTTTAAAATTTGTCCAATAGACAAAATTCTTTTATGTTCTGCTTTTTAATTTAAAACATTTTATGCAAGATGGTCATTTATGCAAGATGGTTCATATTTTGGAAGGGAATACTTAAATGAATTTGGTATGCAAATAGAAGTAGAATCATTTTTTTTTTTTTTTTTCAAATTTTTTATCCCTATTTGAAATATGGGGACATTTTCTTATGGAAACTCAAAATTTGAAATTTTTTCTCTCGGTAACTATTTCAATTATCAAGAAGCTTACAGTTTGTGCTTTTGTGTAGACTTTCTTTAATGGAGATGTAACTAACCTGTTTAAGCCAATAGTGAACTCAATATTGCTGCTTTCAGTCAAGAGCCCTTAACTTTTATCTATAGCTTATATATGATGGTTGTTTGATTTTTTTTTTTTTTTTTAAATACTTCTTTTTAACCCTGCTTATGGCATATGCTACTTAAATATCACATCATGCCATCAGCGGCATTCAAACATACATCTCTATCTATAAAAGGCAGGATGTGTGTGTGTGTGTGTGTGTGTGTGTGTGTGTAACGAATGCACGGCTGCAATTTTCGATAGATTTGCACCAGAATTTACATGCACATGCTCCAAGTTAGCAGTAAGGCCAATACCGACTTTGCATTTCCCAACTCCCATCGATAGTGGAAATAATCGATTTTTTCATGCTTCTGCAGCAGTTTTCATTTATTTTGCGGCCATTTTCTACTGGCCAGAGTGAGAGCCTATAGCTGGCTGCCACAAATAGGCAGGAAGATTCTATTGGCCAGCGAGAGAGCCAACAGCTGACTGACACAAATGTTAACTAGCATGCTAGCATGCAAAAAAAATCGATAACTGCATTCTTCACAAGTGGGAAAAACTTAAATCTGCATGGCACTTTACTCCAATTGGCTCATTTGCTTGCTTAAACTCAACGTTGATTCTGATTCCGCAGAACTGGGTTGGGTGTGAAAAAGTATTTGTTGTTAACATTCCTTTTTCATTCAGTTTTTCCAGTTACGAGTCCTTTCTTAAAGCTGATCGTTTTGTGTTCATTTTGTTTAGTTCTTTTTTCGTAACAGATTTAATGTTTAGTATAGAGCTTAGAAAAAATTTGCAGTGTGAGATAGGCAAGAAGTAAAGCATATAGCAACATCAGCACATCAAAGGGCACTCCTTTAAAGGCAAGGAAGGGCAAAAATATTTTAATATTTACAGTGATTGCTGTACGAGTCGTACGATTTTTTAATCAAGCACGGCAATGCCGGGCCATGCTGCTAGTTTATTAATAAAAATATAATTTCTTGATTAAATTCTCGTAACATGAATTAACTAGGAATGTCATTCTTTATCATACACATTACATTGTATTGTTATTTCTAAAATGACTAAATCTTTTTTTTCACTATTTGGTACATATAAACAGTTTGGTGGGCATAGAGAAATGTAGGTAATGTGTATGACTAAGAAAAGTCATTAACATTCCAAATTCTGTTTGGACAATTGAACCTTTTTCAATAGACTGAAGAAAATTTACAAAGAAATTTAAGATTAATTTATTTCTTTTCATTATTTTTAATTTCATCATGCATTTTAGTCAATATATGCTACACTATCTTCAAGTGATATTTTTTTAAAAATAAAGCTAAATAAATACGTATAGCTGTCTTATTGCTTTAAAATCTAAAATGCTATAAATAATAAATTAAACTCAGTTTTTATTGCATAGTCATGAAATAACACTTTATGGTGATTAAAATTATTTTTGTTAAAATTATAATGTTTATAAAATTGAAAATTAATTTGTGCCTTTCCCCCCCTCCCCTCCCCACTCCAGATATCTTGGTACCACTATTTAAACAGTCTATATTAGAGATAATTGTAACCTTTACTATAAATCTTTTTATTCTAAAGTTTTACTGAGCTGCTATTTAAATCCTGTTTTCGTGCCAAATCATTGACAAAGTCTACATTTACTTGTATTGTAATTCTCTTTAACATTCTTTGGTCTTGCTTGTTGCTGAAATATTGACTTCTCTCTTACGTCTGAGTGCCTCTTTAAATAACTTTTCTCAATTATTTCCAAGAATTGCATACTCTTGGCTGGAAATACCATATAGAATTTTTTTTTTTTTTTTTTTTTTTTTTTTTTTTTTTAAATCTTTTCACCCCATTCAAGGCAATGATGCCAATAAGATGCAAAGGGCTATTGGGAGCAAAAGAAAATGAAAAAACCTTATGATGAATCACATAAGGAGGAAAGAGGATATGGAAAATTTGATACTCGCATGATAGATTGAAGGCAAGAGATAATATAAAGACAAAATTTATTAACAGCTATAAAGGACAGGAAATTGTGGAGAGTCATGATTGCCGATGCCCTGAAGGGATACAGCACATAGAAGAAGTTCACCATCGATTTTTTTTTTTTTTTTTTTTTTTTTATTATAAATAGATCCGAATGATATAAGCCATATAAACATATTTGATTAACATTTCTTTAGCATTCTTTTAGTTCTTGTTGATGAAATATCGACTTCTCTTTTGAGTCAGAGCATCTCTTTAAATAACTTTCTCCTATTAATTCCAAGTATTGCATTTTCTTGGCTGAAAGTAACACATTTTGAATAAAATTAGATTTATTTTTCATTTTTCCATTTTTTTTTGTTTTTCTTTTAATCATTTCACCCCAGTCGAGGCAATAATGCCACTAAGCTGCAAGGGGGTTACTGGGAGCAAAAGGAAATGAGAAGACGTTAGTGAGAAGGAAGTACAATAAAAGATCAGGGTTCAGGAAGATAGAAAATGGAAATTGACATTGCATTTAAATTTTGGAGATTGCAGGCAGCAGGGAAGCAAAATCCAAGAGGGTTCCACAAAGGAAAAAGAAATTATTAGAATAGAACTTACACTTATGTCTAGATATTTTGACAGTAAAAGGATAAGACCTAGTTACCAATTGATTCATGCAGTTGAGGTACCAAGAAGGAAAGCTCATTAGAACAATGGCCATGAAAATATTTGTAGAAAAGGCAGAGAGAAGCCACATTGTGGCAGAGAGAAAGTCAAGATGCTAGGTCAGGACCGATTATAGAACTTTCTTCGAATTTTGTCAAGAATCTCAAGATATATAGCAGGAGCATCAGACCAGATATGATAACAATGTTCAGGTGAATAAGAGATTTATAATTTGTCCTCTTTGTTCATTCTTCATTCTCTCAAATTGCTTCTTCGCTATTGCTTCATTTACTCCCCTTACTGATTTTTCTATTTTTTTTTTAGTTATTCTATCCATTTTTCCATCTTTTCATTCATCCTACTCATAATTCAATCCATTCTTTTTATTTTTTCATCTTTCTTTCTTTTTTACTTTTCCTCCTCCTCAGAAATTCATTTGAATAACAGACATAGCCTAAAACTAACATTAAACACAATGCTTCGTTTCCCCCCCCCCATTCAGTATAATTACTGTTGTTATCATTCTTACTGGACACCTGCCAGTGGAAATGGCTAAGCTGTTTGTTTTATCTGCAAGATGAAGGTTTATCTTGGCAAATTTGTAGACAGAATATATTCTCAATTGCATTTTCTGCTTGGTGGGCAATATTCTAGGAGAGGATTTAAAAAATGCAATATTTCTTCGTGCTTAAAACAGGTTGATATGTCCTTGATAGTGAAGTAATTCATTTATTTTATAAGGTATTTGGTTTTTAGTTAAAACTTTCTTTTTTAACAGGATTACCTTTTATTGGGATGGTAAAATGAATTCTGGTTTCAGACTAGTCATTCAATTTTATGTTAAACTGATATGAAAGTTTCCAGCAATTATGGGAAGAGGCTGAAAAAGATATATTAGTTATTCAAATGATTTCAAACGGTTTCACGTTTTAAAGTATGCTCTGAGAATGCATTCAATTTTGCTTTGGTTTAAGCATTAAAAAATTAAAAACTATGTTCATCTCGATTGATCAAAAGGGACTGCACAGCAATCCCTCAAAATACACACACACACACTTTTAGAACTGTTTGAATGCTTTAATTAATAGACTAATTTGATATTATATATATATACTTTCATAGCTGATTCAGTGCTATTGCACTATGTAGTTTAGTCATCACATTTTTTCTAATGCAGTGTACTCACTAATCTTTCAAAATTGATATAAAGAATAAAAATTTAGTATAAAGTAAAACTTTATTGCACATTTGTCTATTTATTAGAAAATATTTATTAAATGCCCAGCCTACCAATCTTTAAATAATATCAGCTATTGTCATTAAACAATAAACCATCAAGCTAATTTGTTCATTCAAATATGGGTGAAAAAC